GCCCCGGGGACCCCCGGCCGAGGGCCCCGGCAAGCAGCCTCTGCCCGCGGCCGCACTATTTGCTACCTGACACCAACGTGCTACTGCACCAGGTGCGCCGGCGGGGGGTGAACCACTGGCAAAGCGGCCCCACCGGGACATGGGGGTGTGGCTGATACGAGAACAGGCGCCCCTGGGGCGCGCCTTGGGCGTTATGTGTCAGTACCCACGCGTGTTCCCCAGGCCACGGTTCTCTTCCTTGTGCAGTTATTTTTTTTACCGGTTCTTGGAATCGTATTTTAGACACGTTGTTTTTCTAACTCCTGGTGTCTCTTCTGCCTTAGATTGTAAGTGCCTGGAGGCTGGAAACCTGGGCTTCTGTGGCCTCCAGTGTGCGATCCCCAGGCAGCTTGTAAGTGCCTACGAATGAGTTATGTGGGCCAATGCATTTCCTTAACAGTGATCATAACTCTACGAAGCTTCGTGATTGGTCTGTGTCTTTATTAAGCCCGAAAGGCTGCGTAACTATTTTCACTTTATAGTAAACTTTTAGTAGCTCCTTGGCTTAACGAATGTTCAGTGTTTTTTACATAGGCAAGGTTTTTTTTTTTTTTTTTTTTTTTTTTTTTTTTTTTTTTTTTTTTGGTTTTTTTTTTTTGTTTTGAGAGATTTTTGCTATAGGGCGCGTGTGCTCGCCAGACAGGCAGAGAGAGACAGAGAGACAGAAAGCGAGAAATCCCCCCCCAGAGGGGATGGCCACGCCGCAGCCCCTTCTCCATTCTCCTCTCGGGATCTTGGGCATGCACGCACACGTGCCCCGCGTGAGTATAAGCCACCGGTCCGGGACCCGAACCTTGGTCGTCTACGTGGGAGTCCAGCGACATAGCCATTACACTAACTGCTAGTCCCCGTAGACAGGGTTTTGTGTTTGACAGAAACAGATTGTCACTAACTATAGAAAAAATTAACTTTCTTTTTTTGTTTGTTTCTTTTTACGTTTTCCCACAAGCATTTAGTCTACATATCAAAAACTTTTTGATCATACTCCATAGTTCTTGACAGTTAATAAACAACTTTCAAAATTTCAAAATCTTCCTGTCTTTTCTAAGATCGATGTTCTTGAGGACCCCGCTATCCGAAATGTAATCGTGCTACAAACAGTCCTCCAAGAAGTGAGAAACCGGAGTGCCCCTGTCTATAAACGAATCCGAGATGTGACGAACAACCAGGAGAAACATTTCTATACATTCACTAATGAACACCACAGGTAGGAAAAAAGTTATGTAAAATATTTTTAAAACCATGGGATTTGCTGAGATTACAAAGAGGGGTCCTGGGAATAATTTATGACGTTGTCTGAAGATAAATGATAGGTGTTGTGGGTTATTCAGTTCTATATAGCTGTGCAGAAGATGATGCTAAGTGGATCTCCCCAAGGTCACATAGGCATTGATAGAATTTAGCCTGGCACCAAGGTCAGTTGGTTCTAGGCTGCAATAGGTATTTTTATTTTCAAACTCTTTTCATTTTGAGTTGGTTTTAGTTTTAAACTATTGAACTTTGAAGATGAGATTTGTGTAGGTTCCTGGAATATTGTATTATGTGAATAGCCCATGTAGGGTAATGTATGAGTTTGTAAAGGGGAAAAAAAAATTGATGTCTCAAATTTCTCTTTTTTCTCATATTTCAAACTTAAGTATCATTCTTGTAAATATTACCAGTAAAGCACTTTTAGACTTCTTAGTACTAGCACCTTGAAATTCAAAAACAGAAGCTCCCTAGTTTTTCAGTATGGAAAGACCAAGTTTTGTGGAGCATGATCTTCAGAATCTTAATCAGGGGTTAACAGTTTTCTTGGCTCACATACAGTGACTACACCTACAATGCTGGGGTTGACGAGAAGACTCAGTACATTTTACAGAATCTCATCTAAGATTTTATTACTCAAGTCATGTTGAAACCAGTTCAGAAATTTATGATGATGTCTTTCACTGACATTCTTAAAGTGTTAACAGTATATTTAATGGTGAGAACTAAAGTGACTGTGAAACAGTTAATATAAGTCTAAAATTCTAAAATTGAACTTACTGTCCATCTTTAAGTACTAGCAGTTATTGTACTGAATTGTTCATTGTAGTTATAGCTGGCTTTGCAGAACAGATTTAAAGAAATATGATAAGTGTGCTAACATATTTGGCCCTTCAAAGAGACTTAAAAGGAATATGTGTATCTATAGACAGTCCCCAACTTATCTATAGTTTACGGTTTTTGTTTGTTTGTCTTTTTTAAACTTTGTGATAGAGAAAAAAATGGTATACATTCAGTAGAAACATACTTGGATAACTCATCATCATTCTATTGTTCATTTTCAGTAAGGTAGTCAGTAAGTTACATGAAGTATTCACCACTTGGTTATAAAATAGGCTGTATGTTAGATGATTTTGCCTAGTGGTAAGCTAATGTGGGTGTTCTGAATGCTATTAAGTCAGGAGAGAATAATCTTCAATTTTTGGTAGATTAGATGTATTAAATGTAGTTTTTACTTAGAATGGTTTTAACTATGATGGACTTACTGTATTGTAATCCTATGGTAAGTTGAGGAGCATCTGTGTACCTGGTCTTTCGGTACCGACTTTACTATGGATAGTTTATTTGTGTTAGATGTTTGTGATATGGGATCATATGATTTTAAATCTTCTATGGGTACTATTTGTAGCTTTTAGAAATGGTATTAATCTGCAGCTTGAATGAAATTTTATCAGACCTGTAAAGTTTTATTATAGTTTGTTTTTTAAAAACTTGTCACTTAATATCTTAATCTAAAGGATAAATTCTGATCTTGAATGTTTCCTTTTATGAAATGAAAGTGTCTCTTTATTGTCCCATTAATAACATAGTTTTCTTCTTTTCCAAGCAAATTATCTTCTTATCTATAAGAATCCTATTTTATTTCCTCTCTGAGGTATAAATCTAAATACATCCAAGAGGAAAAGGTACACTCTTGACTTTTTAGTTTAGGCTGCTAAGTATTTGCATTGTAGAAATTTTTGACATATTCTTTTCTCTGTTTAATTTTTTTTCTTTTCCTTTACATTTAGAGAGACCTACGTAGAACAAGAGCAAGGAGAAAATGCTAATGACAGGAATGATAGAGCGATTCGAGTAGCTGCAAAGTGGTATAATGAACATTTAAAGAAACTGTCAGCAGAAAATCAGCTACAAGTTATCTTCATAACAAATGACAGGAAAAACAAAGAGAAAGCTATAGAAGAAGGAATACCAGCTTTCACTTGTAAGTCCAGATGTAGGCACTGTTAGGGCATATTTGCAAACATGTATAAAAATTCACTTCAAATACCAGAGACAGTGTGGGAAGAGAGTGGGAGATGTCTGAGGGTAAGAGATAGGGAATCAAGGATGGGGGGAGAGCAAAACATACAGGAAACAAGAAATGGAAAATTATTTGTTGACAATAACATGTATGTTGATGTGCTTGATTGAGACAATATACAGTGTACTCTGGATGGAAAATCTCATTTTGTATGCTGTAATGATGTACAGTAAATGAACGTAAACAAATAAATTTAAAATTAAAAAAAAAAAAATTCACGTCAAGCCAGGCCCATTCAGCAGCCTAGTGATTAAGGAAACTGGATCCCACATGGCCTACCATAGTTTCAGTCCTGACCTTGACAGCTTGAGAAACACCAGGCATATGTGCATACATGACTAAAATGTCAACAGGCTAGTGAAAAGGAGGAAAAGAGATGGTAGCATGACCAAGCCCCATTGGGGAGTGTTTTCTCCCTCTCTGTCTGTCTCTCTGGCAAGCTTATGTGATGATAAATTTACATCAGCTCCTGTCTAATTTCTTGTGATATTTTTGCATTTTTTATTTTCTCAGAGTTTTTAGTTTGTGGTAGTTACTCATTTTTCGCTGGCCATTTGCAATTGGCTTAGCAATGAAAGCACATAGATAGACCGGACCCTTTGCTTCTGCTCAGGCATGATCACATCAGCACATTGTTGTGTTTTGTTTCGTTTTTCAAAAATTACAACAGACATATTGTCACAGACAAGGTTAACCATATTCTTTCACATCTAAGGAAAGAACACTTGAATTTATCAAGAACAAATTTATATTTCAGGTGAAGAATATATAAAGAGCCTAACTGCTAATCCTGAACTCATAGATCGTCTTGCTTGTTTGTCAGAAGAAGGGGTATGTTTGAGTTTATTTTGTTTTTGAA